TCCGTTAGCTCGGCTGTCCGTGTCCTGCCATCTGAACACAACAAGGGAAGGTTTTGAGGGACGCCACCGCGCCCGGGGTTTATATAACGATGAAATGTGGCCAAAGAGAGCGCTGAGGGGCTTAATCTGCTCTGGCACCATGGGTGACGAAGCTGTTCAAGAGCCCCAGAGGGGAATGGAAACGGCCTTACAAGGCAGTGGAAAACTTTAAAGGTTAAATGAGAGGGCAGGTGGGGTGATAATAGGAGGTAAATTATAGGGGTGAGAGATGAGAGTGTGGAGTTTGGTGAGGAAAGTGTCATTTGAGTCGTTCAAGGCCTCGCTCGCTTTTAGCAAGTGGTCAGAATTAGTGTCCCGTACTTCTGGGACAAGTGAGGTTCTTGGCGGGTCTCCAGCACCCTCTCTCCAGACCTCTTTTTAATTCACTCCAAAGGCGAGAAAATAATGGAAAAAAAAGGGCAATGAGGACAGCCAACCAGGCGTACTCAAACCCAGGCCAAAGAAAATGGCTATTCACTCTCAAATTAGCCGTCTGCATGGCCACCTTCAAAAGAGGCCCCTCTCTCCATCTAATCCCTTCAGATTGTGAGTGCACACACCGACTGTCTGCTGGACGCTGAAGACCCCGGCAGTTAACTGAAGTTTTATCGTCATAAGCATGTATGGTTAAGCTGATTATCCCGGATTAAGCCACAAAAGGCCAAAACACATGGTGCAGATAAACAAACGTGCATAAGAAAATCATAAAAATTAGGGCAGCTGAATTATATTAGAACATTTATTTAAAAATTAAAATAAAAGCGAATGTATTATTCAGTAAAAAAAAAAAAGCTTGATTGACTGAGGCTTTAAAGCTCTGGCTAATAAGAAAAGGAGCTTTGTTGCAGAGATGAGCCACTGTGGATCCATGCCAACTATCTGAATACTGCATGTTGTAATCTACCAGTAGTTAGACACTTTAAGCTGCAAAAGTACAGTAAATTACTCATTTGTATCATCTGCCTCTGAGAGATTACTAGAAAGATCCATCCATTTTAAAAGCTAGCATTTGCTGTTTTCAATCAAAACATAAATTACAAAGCAAATTCAATGTTAAACTTATTGCATAGATTACTTAAGTGTCAAAATATGCACTCATCTTACAAAAAAAATTAAAAATGAAACATTGAGTGTACTGAAGTGGAAATGCTAACAGTATCATGTCTTAATTTATATAAATTTAAATAAGATTTACCACAATAAAGCACGCATCTTCTGGATCTACACCTCCAGATGCAGGAAGAGGGACACCTGCATCATCACCTGCAAAATCACTGTAATGCCACTTGATTGTTGATATGTGCTGCTGACTATCCATGATGCTGATCTCATGCTGCTGATTACGTCATGTTGCCGTGTTCATTAATCCTCATCTGCTCATACAGACTCGTGTTCATGCTGCTGTTGTTTTGGCGCATTGTTTTGTACCATTAGTGCTTAGTGTATTCTTAGTTTAGTGAATGTGGTGTAGTCTTAGTTCATGACTCGGATCTTACTAATGTTTTTCTTTACAATTTGCATTTTTGTTGGATGTAGCTGGGACCCTGTGTGCAGTTTCGTTCGTATCCTTGTATCTTCTCGTGGCGCATGTGTTTGGGGAACTACACAAACCTTATTTTATTTTAACGAGGACAACAGTAGCAACATTATTATAAAGAATTACAGAAAGTTGGACTTCAGACTGGATGACAAATCTACAGCGAGGCAGATTTATGTTTTTTGCCATTGGATCTGTGGAAAAAAAAAAAACATTTTATGTTCAACATCTTAAATTATCTGTTTTTATTCAACCTCTTTGCAGTCTTTGTTGTATTAATAATTTCTAACAGACCGGATTGATCATTTCAGTCAGCGTAGAGAGCTCAGGTTGGCAGGAGAGCGGTCCAGGGGAATAGACTCAGGAGGTAAATCTCAGAATTTTCTCAGTTGTAGTTCTAGAATTGCGCCGCTCGGGGTGGCTGCATGTTGGAGCAGCTCTGTCACATTCATTATGAGTTATTGCTTTTGAAAACTTTTAATTCCTCTTTTTCTGGATGTAAATCGCTTTTTTCGGATAATTATTTCCTCTGGTATCAGATGCTGTGCAGATGAATAATTTCTACTGAAACCTTTTTACTTTTGGGCATTTGTTATGATGCGTAACCATGACAACAAGATGGTTTTTGACGACCTGGAGCAGCTGATTAACATCTCAAAAGCTCAAATATCTCAACTCCGGCCCCAAATCCCAAATGAGTTAAAAAAGGAGGTGCCGTGGACGAATTCCTGTCAACCTGGCAGCGGTGCTTGAGTACCTGACTGCTGAGATCCTGGAGCTGGTGGTAAACTTGGCTCGTGACAATGGGAGGACTGAGATCGTCCCCCGGCACCTTCAGCTGTCTGTATTTGGCGACGAGGAGCTCAGCAGGCTGCTGGGAGGAGTGACCATCGCTTAGGGAGGAATCTGCCCGGCATTCGGGCAGTCCTGCTGCCCAGGAGGACCGAGAGGCTCACCGAATCTGACAGCAAGTTGGATCTGGGTGAACGGATCGGTATCTGTGAGATTCTTCGGATTCGCTTCAGGAGATCCTTCCTGCCCCATAGCTATCAGCATTTTTAACAACTCTTGAATGAAACCAGGATGGTGAGCTTCAACCATACTGAATTTCCCTCTGGGATTAATAAAATACTTTTGAATTGAATTGAATATCACTAGAAGGCTGAGGCACGAATGCGGTTGGCATGTAATGCTTCAGCAGGGAATGGAGCTCTTCTGCAGCCTCCTCTACCCCTCGAGCTAGATGACTCCAGCTGTTGCTCATTGGTGCCTCCCTGGAACTCAGGAACCTGCAAGGAACTGAAAACCCTGCACCATAACACTGTAATCATGTTGAGGTGAAAAAGGTCATCATCTTTAACGGTGTACGAGTTTTCACACATTTTACAAACCTATAAATGACAAAGAATGAGGCAAGCTACTGTAGATATCAATTTATCAGAATCAAACGCAAATTACTCAAATGGAAGTAACCCATGAGTCCACCTGGGAGAAACATTAAAATGTCTTTTCTTTTGCACAAGTTTATACGTCGTAAAGAAATGTACCCCTTACTTCACATTCAGGAAGTGGGCTCTCAAACAGCAGAGATCCGGTAACCACATCTGAGTGACGTGAGGGGCTTTTCCCCCGTTTACTCCTCAAAACTTATCAGGTACGTTTGTGAGTAAATCGAGCTCACTGTTCCAGCCAGCGCAACACAAGTGCAGAGGAACTGGCCGGTTTGTTCAAGTCTAGACGCCCTGAGACCATCAGGAACGCAACGTCTTCCCGCTTCAGTGGCAAAGAGCAAACAGAGGTTTGGTTTTGGGAGTCTGGATTCAGCCCACACACACAATTAACAATTACTCTAACGACTCCTCTCATAATGTCAGAGAAGTGTGGGACATTTCTCCTGCATTCCTGATTTAATGGAGCCTTGCACAGCTCTGTGACTCCAGCTTGTGGAGCAAACGGAGTCCAGCTCTTTGAAAGATTGAAGACATTTAGGAAACCTGAAGAACTCTCAGGCAGAAAAGGAAAGGCCTCGAAGGAATGCATATCACCCGCTGCCTTTCAAGCCAGAGATTTAAACAAAAATCACCTTTTGATGAAGAGGGACGGTGTTGGACTCGTTTTTTGTGCTCTTAAGCAATATTGTGAGTTCTGATGAGATGTGTTGGGACTCAAAGTATGAGTTAGGGATGACAGTCAGCTACTACCACACCAAGCTTTGTCACAATATCTGCAAAACTGACTGAATTAAAGTCATTTTTGTGTGGGCTAAGATTCTTTAGCTGTGGCGAACATAAAATATTTGGTTCATTTAAGATGTTGTACAAGTACATCAAATGAGCACTTTCTGAGAGTTGCGTCAAAAGCCATCCAGTGGTTCATGAGATATTTTGCTAACAGGCAGACACAGTTGACTTCTGTAGTGATCAGTAAAGTTTGAAAAACAAATATTACTTTACCTCTTCGTAATTGGACTATTGGCTGGAATGAATATCAGCTATTACACAAATTTTAGCTCGACATCTGTAAAGTTGTCCGTTATTGACATTTTTTGTGTTTGCTTAGCTGTGGTGTCCATCTTGAATGGGGTTGACTCCAAATGTTAACCAGCTAAAGATGTCTATTTAAAGGTTACCTTCTGAGAGTTTTAATAAAAATCTATCCAGCGATTTATGAGATATTTTGCTGATGCTTGTACTAGCACACACATGCAAACACTGCCAAAAACATTACCGCTCTTTTAAACTAACAAACCGTCCGTGGTAAATTATTTAAAATAAATGTCATTTGAACTGTAGATACTGGAGCTAATCATTTATATTTTATGTTATTCAGCAGCTGCTAACATGCCAAGCTAAGACAGTAAAACCAATACATTTACTGTAACTCATTAGTGATTTCACTGTTGCCATTGTGCTTGCTCAGGATGGGAGACTGCGACGAAGTGAAGATTCAACTTGTCTGCTTGCTTCCTTAGATAGAGAACTTTACTAACTGGCTTTTCTATGTATGTGAAGGTTCCTGTACAGTGTCCTGAGATAAATTTGTTGTGATTTGGCTCTCTATAAATGAACTGAATTGACTTGATAGCTACAGCAAACAGTTCCTAAACATACACACACACACACATATACATATGTGTATATATATA